GATGAAATCGGATAGGGATGGAATCGTTTAGGGATGAACGGGTTTAAAAGTTTTTAAGACTTTTAAGAGTTTTAGCCAAATGCTTTATAAAATAGTATATATTATAATAAGAAAATACAAAGGGGGACATGAAAACCAAAACCTCGAATTACAAAATATAGAATGATCGAATGATAAATCATTGGATTAAGATCGTGTTTCCTTCTTTTTCACTTTTCCCTTTTCCAAATTGAAATCGGTACAATAGAAACTTTATTTCAATATATGGAACTTAAAAGTCAAGAAAAACTATAATTATGGTTTAACTGAAATAGTAAATTACATCGAAATTAGTCTCATAAAAAGCAAAAAAAGTAAAACTCGGAAAGTTACAGGTCTAAATAATAAAATCTAAGGGTCAATTTGTTAGCAGCTTAATAGTTTTAATGGGCCTAACAACTATAACGTTCGGTTATGCATGACTATATGGTAACGGCTTAATGATATAGAAAGTGATTTATCCAGTAAGATTCTAGATGGAGCTTTATATAGAAGCCAAATTTTATTTCTTCCAAACAATGTCCCTACCAATTAAAAAACACGCTCCTTACATTTATGAAAAAACCCTTTTAAGCAAAAAAAATTCCAACTGATATAAACAAATTAATCCATACATACAACTTATTCATATAAAACTTAATAAAAACAAACGGGCCCTAAATATAATGTGGTAATACCAAACCTCAAAGTAAACAGAAGTCAAAAGAACAACGATAAATTGTAAAATTCATAATATATGTTGTTGTGCATTGCAAAGAACAAGTACCCAATAATTAAGTCGATATCATAATATGTTGTTATTGTTGTGCAGCGTGCTTCAGCTATGTTGATACAATGATGTGCTCATATGCATTGCAAATTTCAATTTTCAGATACTTCAATATTACAAGAGGAAGACTCGTTATCAAAATGACAAAAGCCCATTAGCCTTAGCTTAGTAGGTCAGTAACCCACACGACCACACATGACACAACTTTATAATAATCAGTTGAAAATTTTGATTTTTTTTTCCAAAAAGAATTGAAGATTCATAAATCATAATGTGCCTCACACGACAACTCAGTAAGTTTAATAAACAATAGAAATCGGCCATTCGGAATTTCCATCTTTGATTTCTTGAATTTAATTCATTATCGTTAATAGGCTGGAAACATAATTTCACGCCTTGAAAATCGAATCAATCGAACTTTGAAGAACAATATAAATTAGATTGAGTTGTTGTAATGATGGTGTAACCGGTTCACAATTTGCATTCAATATCCATCACTACTAGGCCCTAGGCCTTTTTTATAGTTAAAGACAATTGTCCAAATCCCAAATTATCAAACTCAGAACTAGTAATAGATGACAACTTGATGCTCTCTTATGCTTTGATGTCCTATGCGGTCGCACGGGCTACGTGGGTCCTGTCTCTCTCTCTCTCTCTCTCCATATTGTCGATGTTGTAGCCCTTTGCCACATCGTTGCTTGTATCCTTCCTCGTCGTTGTTGTTGAATTGTTCAAATGGACTCAACCAACCAATCCAACCATATACACATCTAAAGGAGGGTAAAATATACGTAGACCATTCCACTACTTCTAAGGGGCAGAAAGGTAATTCCACAAAGACCTATAGCTTGTAAAAGAAACCTTCTTTTAACAAAAACGATCAACTTTTTAAAGTGTATCAATTTAACTCGATAATTAAAATTCATTTGTAAATGAGGCTATAATATTTCAGTAATTGTCATTCTCAAAGTCGGTTTCAACATACTAAATGCCATTTGACCTAGTGGTATCGTAGTTTTTGCTTTCCTAAGAGGTCAGGGGTTCAAACATCACCCAAAGGTGAGGAGCGTGTGTAAGCTTACTTGCTGCATTTTATTATATACTTCAAAAAAGAAGTTGGTTTTAGCATTAACTTTTATTAAAAAAGCCGATAACGTTGGTGACTGAAAATATACTTATGACAACTCATCCTATATTCGTTTAACTAATTTATAGGATTTAAGGGACATTTATCAAATGTTTACCTTATGGGATAACGTTCTCGTCCATCAATATCGATTAATGGTAAGCGTTTACAACTCAGTAAACGCTTACCATGTAAGAGTCATCACTCTCACTTATTGGGTAAGACTCTTGATTCTTGCATTCCCTTTTATCGAGTAAGGTAATTAAACAGGTAAGTGTTCAGTAAACCGTATGTCATCTTAAATGTACGATATTTATTTTGACATATCAAATCATTTGATAGGTCGTGTGAGCAGTTGATTGATGTGTTTTTTTTCCAAAATTAGGATACGTTTTATATCCAATAAAAGGGTAAGATTTGACACCAATACAAGTTCATGCCTATA